CCCTCCCTGCCGTCGCCTTCCCAGGCCTGCTGCCTGCTGCTGCCCGGCGGTGGTTTTCCACGCAGCTTCTCTAAAATCTCGGGCTGCGGCCCCTCTCCCGAGCAGCACCCGTGATGTAGGGGGAAACACCAGCCAGGCAGGGCTGCCTGGGCTGCCTCGGGTCCCTCCCATGCTGTATGGTTTTCTTGTAATGATAGAATATTTTTCTAATTGTGCGGCACAGGGATTAATTGCACTGAGTTCTTCCCTTAGGTGTGAATCGCCATTTCCACATGATTTGTATCCGAGATAAATTCAGTCAGAATATCGGACGGCAGATCTCTTCTAAAGTGATTTGGGACCATCTGAGCACCATGTATGATATGCAGGCTCTCGTGAGTATGAAGGGTTGATGCAGCCACGTTCTTCTTTCTTGTAGTTCAGGAGTTTTGATAGGCCAGAATCACTGGGCCTGTCGCACCCTTCGTGTTACCAAGAATTGCGTATCGTTGCGGTGAGTTGATGGGGTTTTCCCTGTATAAAAGTTCACTAGGCGGGAGACAATAAAACCTGTGGTGGTTTGTGTTTTGGGGTTTTTTTTCCATACTGTCTTCTGACTTTGTTCATTAGAGTTGCCTAAATGCTGATCCAGCAAATGTTTACATTGATGCTTAATGTAAGTATCAAATGAGGAGGTTATAGGGTGTTTACATAAGAATTTGCCATGTTCGGGTTCCAGAAATGATCTCAAATGATCATGAGTCATGATCTCAGATATCTTGATCTTAGTAATTCGTTTGACATCGGGAGCCTTCTGATTCTTTAATGTCTGAAGTGTCTTGTTAAGAATTACTTAGCTACTAATGGCATGTAAAATGGAACACTTCTAAATCCAAATGAAAGTTTTTATCACAGTCATTCATAGCGATCTTTCTTTTCTTTCTAAGCACGAATCCGAGATTCTTCCGTTCCCTAATATAGAGAAGAATTTTGCTCTTCCTGACGAAATGATTCAAGAAGTGAGAGAAGGTAAGATGGGATAGCAGTCTCTTATTGCCGGTTGCTCTAATCTCATCTCAGAATGGGTTGTTTAACAGAACTCCCCCCTCCCCAAAAAACCCGCAAGGTAACCTGCCAATCCAAGGCCATTCTTTCAGTCTGGTTTGTGAGGTGTATCGGGAAGTGTTAAACAGTTACAAATTTATCTCGTGAATTTTTTAATCAGCTGACTGAAGGAAGCTGTCAGGGAAAGGACTGGTGCTTGTGCTGTTTGGATTCTCACTACCAGCCCCCGTGATTGACCGCTGTGGGAGACAGGCTGGCGGGAGAGATGGACCTTTGGTCAGATTCCACACAGTGTTTATCATATTCTTCCATGTAATGTAGAGGGGATGCTAATATAGCACAGACAGGTTCTGTTTATACCATTTGTATTCGACTTCCTCTGGGTATATGCAAAAGATCTCCGTGCTTCACTGATACTGGGTAGCAGAGTGAAAGGCAAAATGTGGTTCTTTGCAAGGTGATCAGTAGTTTATTGTGGGTGTTTTGCACCTTGTTGAGATGGCTGTAATATTACATCAGACCATAATTTTTGTGAAAATAGATGATCTGCACACTTTAATGTGGTTCATTTTGTAGCAAGATCGTTTTTTAAAGAGTAGGACCGATGGAGCTGATGAAATAACATTTTCTGCGTATAGTTTGTATAAAATTATGTAATGAAATTTTCTGTGCCAGTGATGATGTAAGACAGTTAAATAGCAATTCAGCTAATGCTTAAAAATGTACACCAGGAATATACTTATTGAATAGCTGCAGTTTCAGTAGCTGGAGAAACTTGCTTTTTGGCTGTGGACTCGTACCTTATGCTGGTATAACCATCTCATTTTTAGGCTATTACTGTTTTTAATATGGTTCACTTGTCTTTTTTTAAAAAAAGTTTGCTGGTTTTTAAGGTCTGATGATAGATTTTTCATTAGGTTTTTTTTTCTGTAGTTGCATTAAAATTGATTGAAAACAAAATATGAAATATTTAGAGGCATTTGTATAGATTCACGGTGGTTTCATTGCACCGTGAAATCATCTCTCTGTTTTTTTTACCTTCTTGGGATTCAGCTACTTATTTCTTCCAGATCTCTCTCACTCGTGGTAACTCTATCTGTACTGTCTAATCTAATAGAAATATGCAACAGTTTGACAGAAATCTTAGGTTGAGCAGTGAGAGCTGGATTTTCGAGGTTTGGCTGTACGTGTGTTACTTAGTGCTGTGATCGAAGCCAGGAGCTAGGAAGTTCCAGCATCTGCCAGAGGAGTTCTTGGGATACTTTAAACTACAGCGGAATGCTTCTCGATTGCTAGGTACACTAAACTTCACACTAAAAATTCAGTAAAAAATCATAATATAGCTAAGACATTACAATCCGTTTTGCCTGTTTAGCCTGTCACTTTCTGCTGTTAATAATTTCAGTGGAACTTTTTGACGTGTGACATCACCTTGCTCAGTGCATTTACTCTACATTGTGCTCATAGTGTGTCTGGACTGCTAGCTATGTTTCTCTGTCACAGTGCTAAGGAACCTTTACTGCTGAATATTGCACTGAGTATTTGTTCACATCATGCACATATGCTGCTAATCCAGAAAAAATACATACGGTTCTTTAAAACCATCTAACCATTGCCTAACAATCCTTTCTGTAGGAAAAGTAATGATTGAAGAAGAAGTGAAAGAGGAAATAAAAGAAGAGATGGAAACGCATGCAGGTCCAGAAGAAGGTAAATTTGTAACTCTCTACTGTGTAATATGAGATTAAAAAACAACTGTAACTGTTAAAAAGTAAATCCCAAACATGGTGTACGTTGTGATTTGTATTCAGACTCAGCATGTGCTCATGCCAAGAACTAGAATAACTTAAGAATGCACAGAGTAAGCAGTTGCTGGTATCAGATACTTTGAAAGATTTCTCCTTTGCCTCTAATTCATATGTACAAAGTTGTATAGCTTTGGAGTTTTTCGGTGTTCATATGTACTTGACAAAACCCTGAAGTAATCTAAAAATCTCTGGAAGAAGGTGGTGTCCAGTTTTAGTGAACCTAAATACACTGTGTTAGGATCTTTGTAGTCATGGGGAAAAATAGGGCCTAGAAATCAGAAAAGACTGTATGCTTAAATGGGAAGGCAGGCAGAGTGGTTTTTGTATTTTATTTTATTTGCATTGTCTTGCTTCTTTCAAATATGGGGCTGATTTTCCTAACACTTTGTTGTAGAACAAAGTCAAGTGCGAACAGTAGGGATTCTCTTATTTACCTTAGCAGACCAAGCCAACTATTAACTATATAATTTCATAATATTTATATCACAGAAGTAGTGCTGGTTTAAGATTGAGTGTAATAAAAAATCTAAAAATGTATTTTAAAAAATATATTAAATTTCACATTTTCAGTGTTCAGTTTTAAAAGCTATCTATAATACCAAATGTAATGACCGTTGCTGGTTATAAATTTCATAGATCGGTCCTATGTTCTGTAAGTGTTCCTATGAAGTATTTTAAGTGCTGTTTAATTCCACTTAATGAATTTCACTTTTAGCCTGTCAAAATACGTGCCTGTTTTTAAAGCAAATAATAAAAGCAAGATGTGCCTTTCTTACGGAAGACTTTTCCTTTAAAAGTGAGAGTAATACTTAAATGTTCGTTAAATGTGCTGGGAATTGATGGGTTTGAAAAGTTTTATGTAATATAAAGAAATTTTATATCACTTCTTGTTTGCCTGGGTGTATGTCTCTAATCTGGAATCATTACTTTGATCTTGTTTCAGTTTTTGCACCCTCTGGAAGTTTAGGAAAAACGACTGAAAAGCTGAGCAGCAAAGAGAAAGAGAAAACTTCGTCAGATTCTGGGTCCAAGGAAGGATCTGATAAGAGGAAGCGCAACAGAGTCACTGAGAAGGTCTTAAACGCAAACAGTAATCCTTCCAGTCCAAGTGCTGTGAAACGACGCAGAACATAAAGCAAGCTGTGAGAGAGAGAAGCAATAAACTCTGGAACGTGAGGAGGGAATGTTAAAAACGAGTAGCAGGATAGTGGCTGCACACGCTTTTGGAGAAAGGAAAAGAGATCTGAGCCAAGTATGAAGACTGTGCTTTACACATGCAAGACTGTGTCTTTCCTGCTGCGTTTTCTGGTCAGCCCGGAGTCGCTGAGCGCTGGCCACCTTCTCAGGGCAGCAGGGAGAGAGCGGGCAGCGCGAAGAGCTGGTGCGTGTGCAGCCGTTCCGGTGGCTGCGTTTCAAAGAAGTAACACGCTCTGTGTCAGCACGCTGCACGGAACAAGCGCTCAGTCAAACACGGAGCCTCAGCTCGTGAGAAGCATAGGTTATTTCTGTAAATTTTGGATTGTTTTTTCTGCCTTTTCTTCGTTGCTGTCTTTGAATATTACAGACCCTCTGTGGGTAATGTTTGGCCGTTTTACTTACTGCAAACGTAGCATTTGTATCAAATGTCTGAATTTGTTGGTTCAGTAAAACTAAAATTCTTTTACTGAGTTGAAGTATTCTTTCACTCTGTTTGCTGGAGGAACCTTTCCTTTGTTCACCCTTAGTGACAACATTTTTTGATCTTTATAAGTTTATATACCGTAAGTGAAGATGATAATGCCCCTTGAATAATAATTAATAAGTGTTGTAAATAAAATACCCAGTGATGTCACATGATTCTGTAAGAGATCAGCTGAGCTGGGCAGGATCCTGGAGGTGTGTTCCTTCATCCATTTAGAATCATAGAAAGTTTTGGGTCAGAAGGGACCCCCAGAGGTCATCTAGTCCAACCCCGCCCCACAGCGAGCAGGGACACCACTAACTAGATCAGGTTGCTCAGAGCCCTGTCCAACCTGGTCTTGAATGTTTCCAGGGATGGGGCCTCCACTACCTCTCTGGGCAACCCGTTCCAATGTTTCACAACCCTCATTGTAAAGAATTTCTTCCTTATATCTAGCCTAAATCTACCCTGTTTTAGTTTGAAACCATTACCCCTGGTCCTGTCACTGCTGTCTCTACTGAAAAGATTGTCCCCATCTTTCCTATCGGCTCCCTTTAAGTACTGAAAGGCTGCAATCAGGTCTCCCTGAAGCCTTCTCTTCTCCAGGCTGAACAAGCCCAACTCTCTCAGCCTGTCCTCACAGGAGAGGTGCTCCAGCCCTCGGATCATTTTTGTAGCCCTCCTTTGGACCCGCTCCAACAGTTCCATGTCCTTCTTGTGCTGAGGGCTCCAGAGCTGAACGCAGTACTCCAGGTGAGGTCTCACCAGAGCAGAGTAGAGGGGCAGAATCACCTCTCTCGACCTGCTGGCCACACTTCTCTTGATGCAGCCCAGGACAGTAGTATAGAACAGTGGGTTTTGTACTTCATTATTTTTTTTTTTAAAGCAGTTTTAGTGGATGTTAGTGGAACTGATATTCCAAAATGTTAATTTTGTTCTACGATTTAGGAATCTTACTGACATTGCAAGGATTATCTTTTGTATGCTAGTTAAGATTTGATGAGGTTACTATTTTTGTGTTGTAAAAAGATGGACCGCAATCAGCAAACACATACTAAATGGTGAATGGAGCAGGCTGGAATGTTACTGAATTTGTTTCACCATATTAACTATCAGTTAATAGAAAGAAGAATTACTTCTTAATCTGTCAGTATCGCCTTCAAGGTGAGGAATTAGGAATCTGCCAGTTTCTGCTTTTATTCTAGGTACGTAGCCAAGTTCTTGTCTGCCGTATTTGTTTCACTTGTTTTATACCAAGAATATATGACTTGTTTTTATTTTACTGAATGGTAATTGTTGTGTAAGTTGATTAAAATTTGGCCCAGCTTACTTTGAAAGTTGTTTAGGTATCTTGAGTCTTTAGTGAAACTGGTCAGAAGTGCCTTCCTGTTTTTTGGGGGGGTTTTTGTTGTGGTTTTTTTTTGTTAACTTTGCCTGGATCTGACAAACTATGACTCTGTTACTTCTGTAAGATATTTGGTAAGAAATCCTGGCCTGCTGCATTCAATAGACAGGTTGCTGTAAGCTTCCAGACTAGAGAGTTTCTCTGTTCTAGCTCCTAATAACCTTATGTTAGGAAGGCTCTGGTTTTAATTTTGATGTTTAAGAAAATATGCTCAAATTGGTTTATTTGATATGTTCAGTTTCCTAGGAGTTGTGATCGTGTGTTGCTTACAGATCTGTCATCAGAGCGAGTGCTGAATGGTGAATCACACAATCACAGAATCCCAGCATGGCAGGGGTTGGAAGGGACCTCCGTGGGTCACCTAGCCCAACCCCCTGCCCAAGCAGGGTCACCCAGAGCAGGCTGCACAGCACCGCGTCCAGGCGGGGCTGGAATATCTCCAGAGAAGGAGACTCCACAGCCTCCCTGGGCAGCCTGGGCCAGGTCTCCATCACCCTCAGAGGGAAGAAGTTCTTCCTCGTGTTCAGCTGGAGCTTCCTCTGCTTCAGTTTGTGCCTTTTGCCCCTTGTCCTGTCACTGGGCACCACTGGAAAGAGTCTGGCCCCGTCCTCCTGACCCCCACCCTGCAGATATTTAGAGGCGTTTCTAAGGTCCCCTCTCAGCCTTTTCTTCTCCAGGCTGAACAAGCCCAGTTTCCTCAGCCTCTCCTCGCAGGAGAGATGCTCCCATCCCCTCATCATCCTCATAGCCCTCCACTGGGCTCTCTCCAGTAGCTCCTCCACAGAATGCCTCCGTTACGTTTTCTCTTTCCTTAAGGAGTAAAGTACTGCTTACTTTGTTGTGATCTATGTAGATCTCGGCCAGGAAGTGCGAATTTTGTAACCTTCACGGCTTTGTGGGTAAATCCTTTTCACCCTGGGGATTCTACATTTTTTTTTGCTATACCAACAAAATGTTCTTTATAGCTTAAAGTAGAAAGGTGCCAACATTAACGTGTACTGGTGCAACCTCCCACCCCATCCTGGGAGCAGGGAGAGCCCACTGGGGATTGCACGGTCGACCCAGCGCCCAGGTTTTTTAGCAATCTGTTGGTTGCGAAGTGAGATATTTGGGAAATGTGAGTATTTCAAACGACCGAGTGCTGCAGCTCTCTCCTCCCTTCCCTCTCACCGAGTCCTGGCTTCTTGGGAAGACTGTTCTTCTATTCGCTTTCCCCGAAGAGGCGCAGCACCTGAGTCTGTGGAAGGGGGGTGGTTCTGCCGTGTGAAGAAGCTCAATGCCAAGGCTTGCGGGACTCGAGGGGAGGAGGAAAGCTCCGGTGCCGCCGACCGCAACGTGCGGGGGGCGGTTCCTGGCCTGTCCCGGGCCCCT